TACACACTGTAGTATATGATATACACAGTGTAGTAAATGATATACACACTGTAGTATATGATATACACACTGTAGTATATGATATACACACTGTAGTATATGATATACACACTGTAGTATATGATATACACACTGTAGTATATGATATACACACTGTAGTATATGATATACACACTGTAGTATATGATATACACACTGTAGTAAATGATATACACACTGTAGTAAATGATATACACACTGTAGTATATGATATACACACTGTAGTATATGATATACACACTGTAGTAAATGATATACACACTGTAGTATATGATATACACACTGTAGTATATGATATACACACTGTACTGTAGGCGGTTCAGAGATAATAAAGTGGTAGGTATGATGTTTCACAAGGTGCTGCTAGAGTTATGTGAAATCTTACTTCTGATTTTACTATAAAACATAATAATGATCAACTTCTCCATGTTTGCTCGGAGGTGTACGGAGCATCCTGTCCGCTCATTGGTCAGTGAAGGAAACCTCCGTTGATTGGTCCTCGTCCGAGCGACAGCGATGAAAATCTGAAAATGTTTCAACTTTCTGGGATTGCGTCGCTGGTTCGCCTGTGCATGACACGTGCACGAGCGCACAATTTCACACGCACGTTTTTCACGTTTCGCTTAGTAGGAGGGAGACCCGCGATTATCGCTTTGTCGCACACGTCTCATTGAAAATGGATGGAGGAGAGGCGATGTCGCCTCCCGTGTGTCGAGCCCATTAAGGTTAGAATAACGTTTACAACTCGCCCTCTGGTGTCCTGGCGGGGGCTTGCTACACTCCCCAGGAGAGGTCTGCAGGTAAAACGTCTCGGCCCCCCGTGGAGCTGGTGGAGACGTATGAAGTAGGCTTCAGTGTGAACTCTGTCCTTCCCAGTTTCAGCCGTGTGTAATTAAAGATCCGGTCTGAAACCAGAACCGCGGCGGTCGGATCAGCTGATCTGAGCACAGCGCAGCAAAAGTAAAAACTCGTACCTTAGATTATTGTCTAACAGGCTTCTGCCTGTCAGGTGAGTAGGAGCAGAGAAACAACTAAAACATGCTTGATGGAAGCCCGGGAGGTCCAGAGGTGGAGCTGATGTAGATCAGCGAGAGCCTGGAGGGTTTGGTTACAGATGTGTGAAGTTCAGAGGTCTCTGGTGGACCCGAGTCCTGACGAGGCTCAGGTGTGGTCACCTGTCCGTGCAGCTCTAACGTCTCCCTTCCTCTGCAGCTCTGGAAGCAGCTCGTATCTGTGCTAACAAGTACATGGTGAAGACCTGCGGTAAAGATGGCTTCCACATCCGCATGCGTCTGCATCCCTTCCACGTCATCCGCATCAACAAAATGTTGTCCTGCGCCGGAGCTGATAGGTGAGCAACGCCACGAGCTCCTGATGAAACCCAGACCTGGGCTAAATGCTGCCTTCCTGTTCGTCAGGCTCCAGACTGGAATGCGCGGTGCTTTTGGGAAACCCCAGGGCACCGTGGCCCGCGTGCACATCGGTCAGGTGATCATGTCGGTGCGTACCAAGGCCCAGAACAAGGAGCACGTGGTGGAGGCTCTGCGCAGAGCCAAGTTCAAGTTCCCCGGTCGCCAGAAGGTAAACCGCCGATGTGAACGCTGAGCTTCAGCCCTGCAGCTTATTAAGCCGACCGGTTCTGCTCAGGTGCGGTTCTGGTGTGCAAACGCTGCAGACAGCGACTCTGTGGTTGTGTATGTGCTCAGCTGGGAGGTGCTGAGTGCTTTAAGGGACCACTGAGACAAAAGCAGCGGTTAATCCTGTCGTGAAGCTCTTCCTGAGCCTGCTGTGACGTCTCGTCGCTCTGATCCGCAGATCCACATTTCTAAGAAGTACGGCTTCACCAAGTTCAACGCCTGCGACTTCGATGACATGATGGCGGAGAAGCGTCTGATTCCTGATGGCTGTGGGGTGAAGTACATCCCCAGCAGAGGCCCTCTGACCCGCTGGAAGGCGCTGCACGCCAACTAGACACTGCGCTCAGCTGTTCAATAAAAGTGGGATGGAATAAAAATCCTTTCCTGGTTTGTTTTATTTTGAGCGCAGATCTGGACGCCGACCGGCGGCTTTCCAACGGTTTCCTGACTAATGAGCTGCTGTAAGGTAACGGTTCAGCTCCCCCTGGGAACGAGTAAACAAGTTTTATTAGTAGCAAAGTAAACGTGCGTTCTGACTGCGTACCTGAGCAGGTTAATCTGAACGGTTTATAGGTTACACGACTTTTATTCCTTTAGTAAATCTAGTTTTGCTGAACTGAATCTTTAAAGGGACTCAAACGCTGCTCACTCTGGCCTGGCAGCTAAAAGGTTGCAGGTTTGAATCCCGCCTGCACCCTTTCTGCGCTGAGCTAGCACGTTTCCTCCCACGGACCTTTAGGGGACTTGGCCCTGGGGGACGGAGGGAGTCTGTCCCAGTGACGGGCGAGACCTGTCCAGGTTTCAGGTCCCTGAGGTGCTGAAGACATTGGACTGAAGGACGTTTACGGGTGCCCCCCCCCAGTTAGCCAGTTAGATTTCTAATATTTTAGTAAAGTTGTAGATTGTGTGGCTTTTACACGTGTGTGTGTGTGTGTGTGTGTGTGTGTGTGTGGCGCCGTGTCAGATGAGGCCCAGCCAATCTCGTTCTGCTTCCTTTTACATAATGACAATAAAAGTCAATTCAACCTGGAGCTGGACGCCAGCGCCCTCACCCTCCTGAGGATGAAGTGGTGAATTTTACACGTTTGAGAACTCAGAAATATTTCTAGTATAAAAACATTTTTATAGTTTAATTTTATTATTTCTATCGAACTTCCAGACAAAACGTGACTCGTTTAAAAAAGCATTTATTTGAGTGACGTGTCCGACGAGCAGCTGCAGCTGTGGGCGGGTCTGTGTTAGCTCCGCCCAGCGCCGGCGCTCCGCACACGCACACCACGCATAGCACGTAGGGCACCAAACGCAAGCTTATGAAAAAATAATATATATATGATAAAGACAGATTTCAATTAGAAGATGTGCAAAGCAAGTTAACAGCATGTTTACAGAGAAAACAATACAAAAAGGAAAGTAGATGGACCGTGTCCACTTTTCACTCTCTGTCCGGGGGTTCTTGAAAATATCCGGCTTTTCATTCAGGAGCAGGGATCGAATTATGGGGGAGCTGTATATCCTACACATCCAGGGGAGCCGGAAAAAAGTGTTCTACCTATATGACATCATTTATGGACTCTTCAGCAGAGAGAGCACAGCGCTGATCGTTGTTGCGCAGCGCTCCAGGCAGCTGCTTCCAGCGCACGGTCCTTTCTCAAAGTGGCACAACCAAAAAACTATAATTAACACACGATCGTTCATGTCCGCACATGTTCTCTATTTTCTGTCTTATCTGTGCCTGAAGCGCTCTGCTACTGCGGAGCTCATCACCTGTGCTGCGGTGATGTCACCTCACTGACGCAGCATCGAAACGCGCTCTCCGCTTTGCGGTCAGGAGATCTTTGATCTGCTCAGAAGTAACTGATGAGGTGAAAAGGTAAGAATCCAGGCAGCAGATTTTCTGGAGAGTTTAGAGGAGATGCAGGAAGATGAGAGACAGACAGGACAGGAAATAGTTCAATAAAAACAGGAAAACAAAGTAGATTTATCTCCTCTACACGTTATCTGATACAATTCAGATCACCTTCAACACTCAGTCACACACCCAGGGCTGTTTCAAGGCATTTTGGGGGCCAAGGCAAACAGAACCCCCCCCCCCCCCCCCCCCAATAACTGGGCCCCCCAGAAGCCTCTGTGTAATTGTTACCCTCTCCAGTAGTATTAGTTATACAGTGTTTGTAAAAGCCCCTCAGACATTACTGACATGCTCTAATATTATCAGATGAAAAACTAAATTATCAGACATGCTGTCTCATCTGCTGCTTTTCTAAACTTGCTAAAAGTAACAAAACCATTTGAAAGCCACTATTTGTGGATTCTCTGAAAGTTTCCATGGAGTTTGTGACAACTTATTTTTTCATTGATCCTATCGTCTAATCTCACAGCTGAAACAAGCATCCTTAATAATCTGTGCACAGGAAGCGTACCGATGCTGTAGTAAAACAAAAGGTATAATAATTTATTATTAATAAAACCTTGTTGCAGCACTAAAGCAGAAAAATGAGATTTTGCATTAAATATGCAAAATATTTACATATGAATTGTTTTAGAGCCCTTTTATTGGCAGAATCTGATATTAATTTAGTTCTTACAAAAAAATGGGTCCCAACATGGTTTGTGTGGCGTTGCCATAGTGTGACGTCATAGGCACAGATCCCCTGTCCTCTTGTTTGGAAATGGAGATATGATCACCCTACATTAAACAAACTGTCCACCCGGGCTTTTGCGCTGCACAGAGACGCTTCGCTGCCTACGACTGAACGTCAGTCGAGAGTCAGTCTCATGCAGACTGACCAATGAAGAGAGGGCCTCAAGTTAAGACCCTCTCCTCATTGGTCAGTCCACACGAGGTGGGTCAAAGGTTACCCTGACAGGGTTACGTGACATCAGATATTCAAGTATTGAGTATATTTACTGCATATTACAGTAAAATATTCTGTATGTGACCACATTATGGTGATCCTTGGGTCGTGATGATGGGGCCCTTGAATATTGTTGCCCAGGGTACAACAAAGTGTTAATCTGGCCCCGCCTACCGGGCGTTCATCAGTAGCTGAGTGAGAGAGGCTGAGAGGGAGAGAAAATCAGAGAAGCTTTGGAGCTTTTTTACTGCTGGAGAAAAACGTAGCAAGTCATCATCTTCCTAAATGCAGTTATTCTCTTCTGAATCAGCACTTCTTTAAAGAAGAAATAGTTAAATGCAACAAAGGGAAAAATCCTTTTATTCAGCCTGTTCATGTGACTTGGATCAACAAATAAGTCTGAACAGTGTTAAAGGTTGTTCATCTAAAAATAGACCTTTAAGAGTTAGAAGATTTTTTTGTTTTAATAAGTTCATCTTAAAACATCTTTCTCAAGTAAAATAACGTTTCTCTGTGAGGTCACATAGGCCCATCGGTGCTGTATGAAACAGAAATAAACAAATGAATCATATTTGTCCACCCAAATACTTAAATAACACAACAACAGGAAGGACAAAAACACCGTCAAGGTAAAGTAAGAATTTTATTTTTAAATAAGCGGCTGTTTGTGATTAATCATGAGTTAACTATGGACATGATTTATATCATTATTAAATATCCTATGTGGCCTATAGGCTATGTACCTGAGATTTCATATGAAAAATTAGACTAACCTATTTTCTAATTAGGTATTTGCTCCATGTTGATATATATTTCATACACATTTACGGGCCAAGTGGAACATCAGCTGCTGATGGTATAATTTGAAGAGAAAAGTCCATTATGCTAACCTCCTGGGGGGCACCACGAAGACTTTGTGCTTAGGGCACCAAAATAGCTAGCAACGGCCCTGGCTCCGCCCACAGGAAGGAACTCGGCTTCAAGTTTCAGCCAGCAGAGAGAGAGAGAGAAGGATCAGCTGGTGAGTTACGCCGCTCCTTACCTTTGAGTTTATAACGTGTGTGTGTGTGTGTGTGTGTGTGCTGATCCTTGGCAGATGTTTGTGAAAGAGTTTAAACGTTATCAAAGTTTCTGCTTGTGTTGACGAGCACACACACACACACACTCAGACCCCCCCCCCCCACACACACACACACACACACACACAGAAAACCCAGTTTTTGAGAACAGAAAGAGGAACAATAACAAGGAGGAACAGGAACAGATGGAGAACCGGTCCTGAAGGCAGCGATGCTCACACGTTAGGAGGTTTTAACTAGAATCGGGTTCATAGAGCAGTAAAGTTTCATACGTGTTGGACATCTTTCCTCCACCAACCTAACCTTCTTAGTGAAGAAGTGCGGGTCGGGGTCAGGACCCGGTTGTTCTACTGCATCCTCAGCTGCTCTATTAACAGTCAGCTGCAGAAGATTCAAAGTTCAAAATAAAGTAAAGAAACACAAAGTTGGTACCAAAAACATTTTACTGTCACTTAAAATCTCCTTGTCATCAGAACATCGCTGAAGGTCATTCATGAGTGAGATCGACCTTTTCATTCTGTAAACTCAACCAGCAGCCATGGGTGAGAGGGTTAGGGTAGAAGCAGGAGTTTCCCTAAGCCTCCGTTTACAATCCAGAAGAAAGGATCTGTCTAGCGAGCTTCGCAAGATTAAAATCACCAAAATAAAATAAAAAGGTGTTAAGCGCCGAAGCCCAACACACCCAGACTCCAGGAGCGTCTCACAGGACATGTGTTCATGAGCTACTGCAACTGCTTCTTTAGGGCAATGAAGGAGAAACGGAGGAGGAAGTGTTGCCGAAATACTTCCTTTGGTCCTTCAAAATAAGAGTCTCAAACAGAATCATATTCATCAACTTGTCCTAGTCCTAGTGGTTACACGTTTAAAGGTACATGTGTATGTTTGAGACTCTTATTGTGAAGGACTGCAGGAAGTTCTTTGAGTCTTTGTATGTTCTACACAGAGAACTAAAGCTAGTTCAATAGTAAGAAGATTTTATTCATGAATCACAGAAAGACAACTCCATAGGACATGAGGTCCATCTTCCTCCTCCTCTTCCTCCTGACCGTGGCCGACGCTCAGCGGAGTTCAGAGTTCAGGATCTGTGCCTTCAACCTTCATCACTATGGAGACTCCAAGTCCAGGAAGAGTGATGTGATGATGACGCTCGCCAGGGTGAGAACCTGATGTTCTGCTTTTTATTACTCCTGTCATCCTTACTAAACCCCTTCTAACACACACACACACACACACACACACACACAGATAACCATTCACACACACACACACACACACACACAGATAACCATACACACACACACACACACACACACACAGATAACCATACACACACACACACACACACACACACACAGATAACCATACACACACACACACACAGATAACCATACACACACACACACAGATAACCATACACACACACACACACACACACAGATAACCATACACACACACACACACACACACACACACAGATAACCATACACACACACACACACACACACACACACACACACAACCATACACACACACACACACACACACACACACACACACACACAGCTCTGATGTCTGTTTCACATCATGTGATCCTTTTTTCCAGATCATCACCCGCTGTGATGTTTGTTTACTTCAGGAGGTGAGAGACAGTAAAGGGACTGCCGTTCCACAGCTGCTTCAGACTATTAAGAGGTTAACCATCACTCACTCACCTCCATCCACCCATCCACCCACCCACCCATCCATCCATCCACCCATCCACCCACCCACCCACCCATCCATCCATCCACCCATCCACCCACCCACCCACCCACCCATCCATTCATCCATCCACCCACCCATCCATCCGTCCATCCACCCATCCACCCACCCTCATTGATACCCTGGTGGAGCTGAGGCCTCGGTAACCACTAGATCACCTGTCTTGTTGTTGTTCAGGTACGACTCCACGTCTAGCTACCAGCATGTGTCCAGTGAGCGACTGGGCCGGTCGGAGTCGTACCAGGAGCAGTACGTGTTTATTTACAGGTATTGTGAGCGGTTTGAGCTCCTCGAAGCCCTGAAAGGGGTCACAGGTCCGAGCGTGTTTTCTTACGTGTCTGGACCTTTCCAGGACTGAAACGGTGACGGTCACAGACCTCTATCAGTACCCAGATGATCTAAAAGGAGACGAAGATGCTTTCTCCAGGGACCCTTTTGTTGTTCGCTTCAAGGCCCCAAGGACAGGTCAGGTTTCTGGCCTCTCAGGGCTTCCGTACAGAGGTCTTTTCCTCTGCTTCCTAATAGAATCAAATGTATTTTCAGTTATAAAAGAATTTGTCCTCATCCCTCAACACACCACCCCAAGCAACACCACCAAAGAGCTGGATGCTCTGTACGACGTTCTGCAGCGTGTGAAGAAGATGTGGAGAACCGAGGTAAAGACATGAGCCTCTAGAGGAATTCAGTAACGTGAAGCAGGAAGTGACCTTCTGACCCGTCCGCGGTGTGAGCAGAACGTGATGCTTCTGGGGGACTTCAACGCGGATTGTGGCTACCTCGCCAAGAAGAACCGGAAGAACGTGCGACTGATCACGGATAAGAACCTCTACTGGCTGATTCCAGACGACAGTGACACCACCGTCAAACTCTCCACTTCCTGCTCCTACGACAGGTATGACCTCACAACCCTGTCCACGCGACCTAACTGTAAACACTGAGCCTGACCTTTGACCTCATGACACGACTGTAAATGCCCACGGTGCCAAACTCTGGTGTCTCACTGACTGATGATGACTAAGGTCAACACAGCGACACTTACCTCCACGTGTGAATGCTCAGCAAGAGGAGGCGGGGCTTTCTCAGAACGACCTTCCACTGGAGGTCAGGGGTCACCCTCCCTGACGACTGGCGTCTGATCCGCAGCGTTAGCTGTACTTTAGATGTGATCCTGTTTTAGTTTATTTGATCAACATTTTGTCCTGCTGTGTATCAGGAGGGCCTCTGCTCGGGTCAGGGTTCTAGTTCTCCTACGTGAGCAGCGCTGCGGGTCACCTTCGTGATGGGAAGGGCGTTCCAAATAAAGATGATGATGATGTTTTAGGCATCATGAAGGTGTGAGCTTAACTTACCTTCCATAATATTTAAACTTATATTTGATCACAAACCCCCGACAGGGATCTAGATCACTGAGCTCTTCTGTCCACAAGGGGGCGCCAGAACAAAACATTATAAAACGTATTATTAACAATAATAATAATAACATTTTTAAATGTTATTATTTCTGGAGCAGAGCTGGAAACAGGAGAATCTCCACTTTTAACTCCCCAGGACTGAAATAACTAAAGAATATTTATGTTTTGGTTGTTCAGGTGTTTTTTTCTGAAGTCAGACGTGATCAGAGGGTTGGGGCGCTCTGGCGTCTGAATATTTTAGATATCTATAAAAGACAGATGTCTGCAGCGGGACGCCCACAGTGATGCCAAACTATGGTTTCAAAATCGTTTCTGATGAAAGACCACACTGTTGTTTACAAGTATGTTAGAGGGTCGAATAAACAAACCATTAACGTAGAGTTGTGGTGCAGATGAAGTGATTTCCACGTAAGAGTTAAAATACCACAATCACACTCCTGAGCCTTCCTAGTAAGGTCTATTCAGGATTCTGGAGAGGAGGGTCCGTCGGATTGTTGAACCTCAGATTCAGGAGGAGCAATGTGGTTCTGGTCCTGGCCGTGGAACACTGGACCAGCTCTGTACCCTTAGGGGGATCCTGGAGGGTGCGTGGGAGTTTGCCCAACCAGTCTACATGGGTTTTGTGGATTTGGAGAAGGCGTTCGACCGCGTCCCTCGGGGGGCCCTGTGGGGGGTACTCCGGGAGTATGGGGTACCAGGCCCTCTGATACGGGCTGTTAGGTCCCTGTATGACCGGTGTCAGAGCTTGGTCCGCATTGCCGGCAGGAAGTCGGGTTCGTTCCCAGTGAGAGTTGGACTCCGCCAAGGCTGCCCTTTGTCACCGATTCTGTTCAGAACCTTTATGGACAGGATTTCTAGGTGCAGCCAAGGTGTGGAGGGCATCTGTTTTGGTGGCCTGAGGATCAGGTCTCTGCTTTTTGCAGATGATGTGGTCCTGTTGGCTTCATCAGAACGTGATCTTCAGCTTTCGCTGGAGCGGTTCGCAGCCGAGTGTGAAGCAGCTGGGATGAGAATAAGCTCCTCTAAATCTGAGACCATGGTCTTGATTCGGAAAAGGGTAGAATGCCTTCTCCGGGTCAGGGACGAGGTTCTGCCCCAAGTGGAGGAGTTTAAGTATCTCGGGGTCTTGTTCACGAGTGAGGGAAAACTGGAGCGTGAGATCGATAGGTGGATTGGTGCTGCGTCTGCAGTGATGCGGGTGTTGTACCGGTCTGTCGTGGTGAAGAGAGAGCTGAGTCAGAAGGCGAAGCTCTCGATTTACTGGTGGATCTACGCTCCTACCCTCACCTATGGTCATGAGCTTTGGGTAGTGACCGAAAGAACGAGATCACGGATACAAGCGGCCGAAATGAGTTTTCTCCGAAGAGTGGCTGGGCTCTCCCTTAGAGATAGGGTGAGAAGCTCGGTCATCCGGGAGGGGCTCGGAGTAGATCTGCTGCTCCTCCACATGGAGAGGAGCCAGTTGAGGTGGCTCGGGCATCTGGTAAGGATGCCTCCTGGACGCCTTCCTGGTGAGTTTTTCAGGCACGTCCAACCGGGACGAGACCTAAAGGTAGACCCAGGACACGGTGGAGGGACTATGTCTCTCACCTGGCCAGGGAACGCCTCGGGATTCCCCCGGAGGAGCTGGCCCAAGTGGCTGGCGAGAGGGAAGGAAAAATGTTCCAGGTTCACATGGGTAATGTGTTTCTTTTACACATTTCATGTTAACTTTCTAACGGCTAAACTAGTTTACACGTGACGTTTCTACCAGGGTTGTTCCTCATGTTTGTGTTCCTACTCTGTGTTAAAAAGTTCATTCAACATTAAATGATCCTTTGTGTTTCCATACATCTTCCCATGTTTTTCACCAGGATCGTCGTGAACGGAGAAACGTTCAACAGCGCAGTCGTTCCTTCATCAGCTCAACCCTTCAACTTCCAGCAGGAATACGGACTTACGGAAGAGCAGGTTTGTGTTTAAATCGCCTCCGTTTCACACGTCTGGAGTCGGAAAACGGTGGAAAGTCACCGAAACCATCGTCAACAATATCAATACTGTGTTGTTTTATCACTATTCTTAAAATGCACGCCTCATAGCTTTCTTATTTCAGACACAAAACATAAAACGAGTTAAGAATGTGGCTAAACTCTCAGATAAATCCTCGTCTGTGCCGGTCTGAGGCGCTGCGCCGACCCGTGCTGTTGGTCTAAAACAGGAAGGAAAAGCATCATAAAACATGGATGTTTGCTTGTTTGTTCTCTGAGGCGCTGGACGTCAGCGACCACTACCCTGTGGAGGTTCTGCTGAAGGTCGTCCGTTCCAGATCCTTTGCTGGAGGAGCTTCTAGGAGTTCCTCTGTATGTGTCTTCGGCACGCTCCTCCTCCTCCTGCAGGTATTCATGTGATCGATAAACAGTCTGACCATGAGCTGATGGAAGTCCAGGTTCTCCGAGGATCTTCTGGAGGAGCGATGCAACTCACACACATCTGTGTTGACATTTACTGGATGCATGAGTGAACATTATTCATGCAGCAACAGCTGATTAAACCTGTTATGTTCTCTGCATGAATCACGCATGAATGTGTTTTATGCAACCAGGTTTCATCTGATTTGCCCAAAAGTCTCTTTTCTGGTCTTTTCGTGTTTAAAGCAGAATTCCTCCTTTCTTGTATTTTATACATTTATTTTACGTCTCATGAAGTTTTAAGAATTATTTTAATATAAACTTGTTTTTGTTCTTCCTCTTCTTTCTGTTTTAAAATAAAACCAATTGATCGCTTATTGGAAATATGTGTAATTTTGATTCTGGGATGTTTTTTAATGATTACATTTGTCCCATTAGTTAAATTTTAATGTTGGCTTTGTGCTTCAATATGAATAAATAAAATAAAATAATTTCTATCTCCCCACTAAGGTGGATGCTTGGTGGTCTTTTCAGTTTGAGCTGATTTCAAACGGCGGATCAGATGAACTGTTACGGCCCCGGGCCGTCTCGTCCCTTCCTGTGGGTGAGCGGGGAGAAACGCAGCACCTGGCTCCGCTTTCACCTGATCAGCTTCATTTGCAGCCAAGCCGCTGCTGCAAGAGCCAGCTTTTCACGGGGAAGGTCTACCGATGCTTTTCGGAGGGGTTTGCTTTGCAGAGACGTCACGGGAGCTGTTACTAGTGGAGTTTTCTGCCGGCGAGTCTTTTGTTCAATAAAAAAAACACCTCAGGGTTCATGTCTAGATCCTGGTTCTGGCCTATCGGGCAGCTAGGTATTATTGGAGTTTGCACCCGGTCCCCGGAAGAAGGAAAACATTTGTTGTTTTTGCACAGACCACACATTTATGTTCTTCACACAAGTCATAGAACAAGCAGAGCGTCGTGGCACTCGGTGAAAACGAAAGGAAAAACAAATATCTCATTTCAAACTGTTGCTCGCCTCATAAATCACCGCGGTCAAGGTCATAACCAAGACGAGTTCTGGGATTGGCCATCAACAGGGCTAGGAGGAGCATTTCCCAGAAATGAAGCTGCTGATCCTGTTTAGTTGCATTTCTGCTGAACTCAGCAGCTCTGTTCTCTGCCTCAAACTTTTAGTTTTCTTATTTTCATGATTTTTCTGCAGGGGCACCCATGTCTGCGACGCCAGGCGACGTGACGCAGGTTTCCATCTTCTGTTGCGTCTCTGGTGAGTGAAAAGTGTTTTTATGTGAATGAGCTGCAGCAAATAAAGCGTATGAGGCTGTTTTTAGTTAAACAGATGATTGTTGTTTGTTTATCAATCAAATCAAATCAAAGATACTTTATTAATCCCAGAGGGAAAGTAGAGTTTCAGTACACACAATTCAGAGATCAGACATAGACACATAGACACATGACAAGAATTGGTGACTGGTCATTCGCAACCCCGAGCCGCGCTACCTTAGAGATCAGAGGGTTACATGAGGATTGGTTCAGGTGGAGGGAAAAAAATGCACTTCAGAGATACCCTCCACCGGGAGGGCAGCTTTGCTCTGCAAAAAAAAACACCTCAACAGATATGCAACCGACTTCAGACAACACAACATAAAGCATCTGGGTGAGTGGCAGCACCCATGGCGGCACCTGGGACTGATCATCAGATTTTCTGTTACTGATTATAAGACACGCCCCTTTAAGGTGTGCCGGAGAATTCAGGTCTTAAAATAATGAAGCGCATCAGGTATGTGGTTACAGGTGACAACAACATGATGTATTATAAAGCAGGTGTCCAGGTGACTTCAGGGCCACGTAAACAGGCCTATTATCCAATAGCGTTGCAGAACTGAACAACAGGACCTGTTAGTGATAAGCGTGGTTTAACAAAGAAGGAGGGTCTATTTTTGAAGCTGTCTCTGGGGGTTAAAGGTGTGGTTCACTAAAGAAAATGATTGTTTCTGATTCTAACGGGTCACTCTGAAGGTTTCATGCAGGCTGAACATGAAAATAGTCTCCTACACCTATCTCCTGCATTAGCTTCTGATAGAAAACAGACGGTGAAACTCTAGGATTAGAAAAGCCTGACAGATCTACGTCACCCTGTCACTAACATTCATGGACTCACCCATCTTGGCTCCACCCACAGGAAGGCTTTGTTGTGCAGCAAGGACAGTGAGCGTAGAGTGGCCCAATCCCAATACTCGCACTTCCACACTTGCACCCTTCAAAGGCGTGATCCCGACCAGGGAGGCTACTGCATAGGGCACTTGTTCATCCGGCACTCGCAGAGAACAGACGCTTCTGCTTTTGTTCCCTTATCTTTTTTCCCAAGGCTCTTTGTCCTGTCTGCCTTAGGGATGGGTACCGAATTCGGTACTTTTTAAGGTACCAACCAAATTCCATAGTACCGACCGAGCACCGATTCACGTCATTTCAAACGGTGCCTCGTTTCGGTACCCGTCCTTCACAACGAGAACTTGCCTGGACAGCTGCGCATGCGCAAGAGCGTTATGTCGTTGGTCGCTGTGAACCAGTTGTAAACAGAGCAGCATGGTAGAAAGAACGCACGCTAAAGCTTGGGTCCACTTCACTAAATGTGATGGGTAACTGGGTGATGATGAAACCAGCGGCAACGATCTAAGTGAGACATCCTCATCTTAATCTGCTCCGGTAGGTAAATAAAATGTTTAAGATAACGTTAGCTTGATTTGTTAGCTTCCGTTTCGCTAATGGTGTGTTCGCTTTCTCCTCGGAACTCCGAATTTCTGACTAGAAGAACATGAATGCGCTCTAAAGTTTGGCTTCACTTTACTAAATGTGATGGGTAACTGGGTGATGATGAAACCAGTAACAACGATCTAAGTGTGAGGCATCATCGTTTTAATCTGCTCCAGCAGCTAAATAAACTGTTTAAGACAACATTAGCTTAATATGTTAGCTTCCATTGCCACCGTTGTTATCAGCTAATGGTGCGTTCGCTTTTTCCTCGGAAATTCTAACTTCCCAGTAGGAAAAATCAAATGAAAAAAGACGGCAAAAGGAATGAAGATACACAGTAAATTTAGTTCACAGTGAAGATGTTTGCTTCAGTTTAATTATCAGCTTATAAAACTACAAGGACGATGTTAAAATACAAACAGTTGTATGTTATTTATCGTGATATTTATCAAATATGGTTATAAATTGAGAAAAATATATATTTAATTATAGAAGATAATTAAAATATTAAACACTCAAAAGTATCGAAAATTGGTACCGTTAAGTACCGGTATCGATTCCTAGGTACCGGGAATTAGTACCGGATCGATTCAAATGTCAAAGGTACCCATCCCTAGTCTGCCTACAGAGCGCTTCTCTGCATTTCTTCTGGAAATCCCTAGTTTTTGGAAATGGATTTAATTAATTGGTCATTCAACGCGATTGATGAGATCTTTTCTACGATGAGAACGGAGAAGGGGGCTCCCACCTGTCCCGAGGGGACATTCGCAGCGGGATATGCGCTCGATTCCTGGAAGGTGTGGAGGATCGTTTGTCTCTCTCAGCTGTCCATTGAGGACGTCGAAGACGTGTGGATATTCGGCCTGATTATCACTGGATTTCTTCTGATTGGAGTGGGAGGATATCTGGTTTTCTGGAAATTTGGGGAGACGGGAGCGATTGGAGGGCGACCCGCACCCACGGGAAGCACCGCTGGGTGGAGACCTCACAGACTGGGACGTTACTCGAGGTGGATCGTAAGCTGGACAATGTCTTAGCTGCGTTACCGGTGTTAGTGCGCAAAATGGTTGTCATCTCGGAGAGGGTCACCGGACGGTGTGGAGATGTTTAATAACTTAAATTGGCTTCACTGAAGGACTGGAATGACCAGTTACAGACTGAAGGCAGAGGGGAAAATTACCTCTGCCTGACCCAAACACAGTCTTGTTATCCAAATCTGACGCCAAGGCAGCCTTGAGCTGCTAACAATGACCCCCACGAAGGAAGGAATGCAGACAGATGCTGTGGAAACCCGTCTTAACACCCCCCCCCCCCCCCCCCCCCCCCCCCCGCCTTCAGATTGTGGACTTCTGCCTAGCGAGGTCATCAATCTGCAGGAAACTCAAATGTGCTCTGCGCTCCTCCAATCTCCCTCCCTCCTATGGATACAGCTGGCTGAGCGCCACACAGGGCTGCTCCCGCTGGGGAACCAGGATCCCATCCCCCCCCCCCCCACACCTCCCTATCGGAGTCTCATGTTGTGAACTGTGATGTTCGTGCTTATATGTTTGAGGCGTTTTTTTTTTGTTTTTTGCATAGTAAAGCTACACCCTGCCCTTCCCTTTTCATCTATAAGGTAGCGCGACTCGTGTTGCGAAGGACCACAGTCACCAGTTCTTGTCATGTGTCTTGCCCATCTCTGTCTGATCTCTGAATTGTGTGCACTGAAACTCAATTTCATTTCTCTGTATGTCTTGCACATGTGGTAGAATTGACAATAAAACCTTTTGACTTGACTTGACTTGAAGCCTTGCTGCACACTTTCTCCAAGGGGCACTGGGCGAGTATTGGGATTGGGCCGTGGTGATGGTCACAACATGGCTGAGCGTGTTCTGTTAGCCAATCAGAAGCGAGGTGTGTGCATATCCTGATGTTTTCAGCCCAGCTCGGCACCAGCAAACTCCTGCAGAACAGGAGCATCACAGCTTTTTTATCAGAATGATTCATCAGCGGTGTTTGTGAAAACACGCGGGACAGATGGCATTACCCACGTGTTAGTGTCGTCTGACAAAAACCTTTAAATCATCGGACAATATGGCTGACGTGCCTCTTCTCTGATCTCGCCAAAATAAAATAAACCTGCTGAGAAGCACAAAGTGACGGGTGATGATCCGCTCTGACTGTGACGTTTTATTCAGGATCATCAGAGATGGTCTCTGGTCTGCAGCAGGAGGGCTTCTTCTGACCTTCTAGCTGATCTGTTATTGGGATATTTGAGCTGAACTAAAACACCAGACAGAAGGACATTGTGCTCTAACAGCAGCTTAACAAGCAGCATCTCCAGCTTTCAGAAGCTCGAAGTTGTTTAAACTCTGGAGAAATCAAATATAGTTTAGTTTCTATTCTACTTTTAAACAACATAAAGGTCAGAGTGGCGTTTGTTTGGTAAAAGGTTTCTCAGTTGAAACCATAACAAGGTAGCCTGGTTTGTGTTTTCCCAGGTGACCTGCAGGATGTGAAGTTCCAGCACAGATCCTCTCGTCTCCCAGTGACATGGTGTCTTCAGTTAAAGGAAACTTCCAGTTTATCTTTGGAAATGATTTTAAGAAGAAACGGCTGGATTAAAGCTGCTGTGCTGGTAAATGTTTCTGTTCCAGGAAGTAAAGTCAAACCTGTTCCTGTAGATGATTCATGTCAGAGCGGGAACTGTTGGTAACGGCCGGGGGGAAAGTCCAGTTTCTGAGGTTAATGGTTTAATATCTAAATGACCTGCAGGAACCCTCCCCTGGTCCAGGGAACCGGAGCAAACTCTTGCTTTGCTAAGTGTTGTTGGTGATGTGGTTCAGAGACAGGAACAAGGCAACTCTGGGACTCACGTCAGATTTATTTAGTCACCTTTTATCAGGTGAACTAGTTCTCCTTTCCGATGACGACGTGACAACGAGGCAGAGTTACATTTAGATAAAAGCAGCAATGATTGGAGCAACGGGCCGACCCAGTGACGGGTCTGTCGTACGTGGAGGGGGAGTGTCTTCCAGAGATCTGAAAAGGAACCATACATCCATCCATCCGCTTATCCAGAGTCGGTTCGCGGGGGCAGTAACCTAATGCGAGAGGCCCAGACTTCCCTCTCCCCAGCCACTTGGGCCAGCTCCTCCGGGGAAATCCCAAGGCGTTCCCTGGCCAGGTGAGAGACATAGTCCATCCAGCGTGTCCTGGGTCTACCTTTAGGTCTCCTCCCAGTTGGACGTGCCCGGAAAACCTCACCAGGGAGGCATCCTGGAGGCATCCTGACCAGATGCCCGAGCCACCTCAACTGGATGTGGAGGAGCAGCGGGTCTACTCCGAGCCCCTCCCGAATGACCGAGCTTCTCACCCTATCTCTAAGGCTGAGCCCAGACACTCTTCGGAGAAAACTCATTTCGGCCGCTTGTATCCGTGATCTCGTTCTTTCGGTCACTACCCAAAGCTCATGACCATAGGTGAGGGTAGGAGCGTAGATCCACCGGTAAATCGAGAGCTTCGCCTTCTGACTCAGCTCTCTCTTCACCACGACAGACCGGTACAACGCCCGCATCACTGCAGACGCAGCACCAATCCACCTATCGATCTCACGCTCCAGTTTTCCCTCACTCGTGAACAAGACCCTGAGATACTTAAACTCCTCCACTTGGGGCAGGACCTCATCCCTGACCCGGAGAAGGCATTCTACCCTTTTCCGAATCAAGACCGTGGTCTCAGATTTAGAGGAGCTGATTCTCATCCCAGCTGCTTCACACTCGGCTGCGAACCGCTCCAGCAAAAGCTGAAGATCACGTTCTGATGAAGCCAACAGGACCACTTCATCTGCAAAAAGCAGAGACCTGATCCTCAGGCCACCAAAACGGATGCCCTCCACACCTTGGCTGCGCCTAGAAATCCTGTCCATGAAGGTTATGAACAGAATCGGTGACAAAGGGCAGCCTTGGCGGAGTCCAACTCTCACTGGGAACGAGCCCGACTTACTGCCGGCAACATGGACCAAGCTCTGATACCGGTCATACAGGGACCTAACAGCCCGTATCAGAGGGCCTGGTACCCCATACTCCTGGAGTACCCCCACAGGGCCCCCCGAGGGACGCGGTCGAACACCTTCTCCAAATCCACAAAACACATGTAGACTGGTTGGGCAAACTCCCACGCACCCTCCAGGATCCCCCTAAGGGTATAGAGCTGGTCCAGTGTTCCACGGCCAGGACCAAAACCACATTGCTCCTCCTGAATCTGAGGTTCAACAATCTGACGGACCCTCCTCTCCAGAATCCTGAATAGACCTTACCAGGAAGGCTCAGGAGTGTGATCCCCCTGTAGTTGGAACACACCCTGTGGCCACCTTTTTAAATAAGGGGACCACCACCCCGGTCTGCCAGTCCAGTGGGACTGCCCCCGATGTTCACGCGATATTGCAGAGCCGTATCAGCCAACACAGCCCCACAACATCCAGAGCCTTAAGGAACTCCGGGTGGATCTCATCCACCCCTGGAGCCTAGCCACAGAGGAGCTTTTAAACCACCTCAGTGACCTCATCACCAGAGATTTGAGAGGCCAACCCAACGTCCCCAGACTCTGCTTCCTCACTGGAAGACATGTCGGTCGGATTGAGGAGGTCTTCAACGTATTCTGCCCACCGATCCACAACGTCCTGAGTAGAGGTCAGCAGCACACCGTCCCCACTATAGATAGTGTTGGTAGTGCACAGCTTCCCCCCCCCCCCCCCCCCCCCGAGGTGCCGGATGGTGGACCAGAATCTCCTCGAAGCTGTACGGAAGTCTTGCTCCATGGTCTCACCGAACTCCTCCCATGCCCGGGTTGTTGCCTCGGCGACCACCCGAGCCGCGTTCCGCTTGGACTGCCGATACCCGTCAGCTGCCTCTGGAGTCCCACAGGCCAAAAAGACCTGACAGGACTCTTTCTTCAGCTTGACAACATCCCTAACCGCCGGTGTCCACTAGCTGGTTCGGGGGTTGCCACCACGACATGCACAGACGATCCTGCGATCACAGCTCCTGTTGGCCGCCTCAACAATGGAGACATGGAACAGGGTCCATTCAGACTCAATGTCCCCCGCCTCCCCCGGAACATTTTGGAGGTTCATTCGGAGGTGGGAATTGAAGATCCTTCTGACAGGAGACTCTGTCAGACGTTCCCAGCAGACCCTCGCGATACGTTTGGGCCTGCCTGGTCTGACCGGCATCCTCCCCCACCATCTGAGCCAACTCACCACCAGGTAGTGGTCAGTTAACAGCTCCGCCCCTCTCTTCACCCGAGTGTCCAAGACATGCGGCCACAGGTCAGATGAAACAACAACAAAGTCGATCATCGAGCTGCGGCCTAAGGTATCCTGGTGCCAAGAGCACATATGGACACCTTTATGTCTGAACACGGTGTTCATTATGGACAATCCATGACTGGCACAGAAGTCCAATAACAAAACACCACTCGAATTCAGATCAGGGGGACTTTCCTCCCAACCACACCTCTCCAGGTCTCACTGTCGTTGCCCACGTGAGCGTTAAAGTCCCCCAGCAGAACGAGGGAGTCACCGGAAGGAGCGCTCTCCAGCACCCCCTCCAAGGTCTCCAAAAAGGGTGGGTAGTCTGAACTGTAGTTTGGTGCATAAGCACAGACCACAGTCAGAACCCGTCCCCCCGCACGTAGGCGGAGGGAGGCTACCCTCTCATTCACTGGGGTGAACCCCAACGTACAGGCACCAAGATGGGGGGCAACTAGTATGCCCACCCCTGCTCGGTGCCTCTCAGTGGGAGCAACTCCAGAGTGGTAGAAAGTCCAACCCCTCTCAAGGAAACTGGTTCCAGAGCCAGAGCCATGCATTGAGGTGAGTCCGACTATATCTAGTCGGAACCTCTCAACCTCACACACCAACTCAGGCTCCTCCCCCACCAGAGAGGTGACATTCCATGTGCCAAGAGCCAGCTTCTGTAGCCGAGGATCAGACCGCCAAGGTCCCCGCCCTCGACTACCACCCGTCACACAGCTAAAGGGAAGCAGCTAAACTAAAACCGGTGTAAAAAGAACAAAAGAGAGAGTTGATAAAGAAACCAAAAGAATGAAGGTGATCTTTAGCATCGACATCAGGATGAAGCAGCAGAAAAATGATATCTTATCACCCTCCTCCACCTGTTTTTCAGCTGATGATCAGCTGTTTTCTATCCTGTTTACAAGCTAAGCTCAGCTGTTTCTCACATCAGTCAGCAGCAGAAAACATCTGGTGACATAAAATGTTTGTTTGCGATAAAAGTAAATGAACAGAAACTTCCTCCAGGTTCGATCTTCTACACAAATCTAATTCCACCAGGATGGGGTTGAATAAACACTGGAGGAGGGGTTCACAGACATGATGTGGTCCTTCTCTGTTCTGATGTAATGATCTCTCCTAACCTCCTCTTGTCCTCAACAGGTGGTCTTAAGCATCCTCAGAATCCATTCCTTCCCTTGTCATCTAACAGAGTATAAAACAGGCAATGGATGCTGTCCCATGTGTCCTCCAGGTAAGAGATGGTTAACTGAAATTAAATAAATTGTAAAAACTTCCATAAAGATTTAAAGAAATAAACAATATGTGATGTTTTGATGTTTGTGTGTAACTACACCTTTAAATGAAAATTTTTGGAACATTTTAATAAAAAACTGGGGGCGGGACTTGATTAAAAAATTAATCTAATTAATTAGCGGCTTTGTAATTAATCTAAATTAATCGCATTTTAATCGTTCAGGAAAACATACCCTCAAAGCAGTTTTAAAAGGAAAAATAGTCAAATCAATAATCAAACATTATGGTTATTATTATTGTAAACTAAAGCTTTTTATTTTCTAAAAAAATACATTTAATTATTTAAATGTCACTGTGATATGAAACGAGACCCAAACCAACTAAATCTTATAACTGCTATTATAGAAAACACATGCAGAGTCCTGAGCCTTTATATGGTCTCTCAGTCTAGTTGAATTACTGAAATAAATGGACTTCGCACCAGATGCTAATTTTTCCTGTTTTACTTGCTTGTATAATTGGGTGGAAGATAAATGATCATGACGAGGAATTATTGATCCGCCTGCAGCAGCGAATCAGTGATGTCCAGCCTAAACGCAACCTTCTCGTTCCTCGCTGCCTCTGATGCGCTTAAGCATCCGCGCCTTTAGCTCCCCATCAGCTGGTGACAGCTGGTTGGGTGAAATTCTGTCTGCTGCTTTCAGCGCTGCACACACGCTACATAAATGTTAAATAAAGCTTACCTCCACTTTTGTAAAGTCTCTGGTGCCACCCGGCAGCAACAGCAGAGACGATCTCTGAAAAACGTCCGACACGGACGCCGTAGTTTTCTGGAAGGGTTTTAAATTACAAGTTAAGCGAAGCAGCTGACATGATTCCCAAATAGTGCAGCAGTCCAAACAAGACTATTTCTTTCTGCTTTATTCGGTTTTAGTAGCCGTTAGCAGAGCACTGTGTTGTGTGCTTCAGTGATATTCGGTCTACGAGGAAGTCATGCATTGACAAAGGTTCCGCTTGGCCTGAAATGCACGCTGTGATTAAATGCGTGAATTTTCTTTAACGCATCATTTTTTTCTAATTAATTAATCCTAATTAACGCGTTAAAGTCCCACTCCTATTAAAAAAACTATATTATATAATAATACCTCCACGGGGCGTTTAGAGGTGTGGAGAGTAAATGTCCAGATGTTACTTTTCAAGCTAAATAAAATAATAATCATCAAAATTTTATTCTGTCAGGCACGACGCTGGGTTTGTGTTTACGTATACCAGCCACTAGAGGGCACCGTTGTGCTAAAGAGGCTGGGACTGTGTAAAGTGGCAGACTTGACAAGTCAAGCAGCTGATTATGTATAATAACTTCAGTCTTGTCTTTGTTTAGCTGAAGGAAGTTTGACTGCATCCAGTCGTTTACGTGTTCTAGACACTGACAGAGTGGGTCCTGTGGACGACAGCCACTAGGTGATAGGGCTAGGTAGATCTGCGTGTCATCAGCATAGCTATGATAGGATATGTTGTTATTAAGTATGACCTGACCCAGGGGGAGCATGTAGAGCTGGCGTTCTGGCCAGGTTGTTGCTGTGTGGCTGTGTCGGTGGTCTGGTTGTGTTGATGTAGAGAAATAAATGGCTGATCTGTTGTTTGTGATTTTTTCATTGAAGGAAGATGCAGACTCATCACATCTGGTCTGAGATATGAAGTCTGGGGCTAACTGTGCTGGGAGGTTAGCTAGCCTCTCGACAGTAGCAACCAGAACACGGGAACTGTTAATATTATCATTGATGACGTGTGAGAAAAAGGCTCGTCTCGCTTTTTTATCTCCGTGTTATAAGTACACAGCTGCATTGTGAAGGTCTGACCGTGATCTGGTAGGTTACTCTTCCTGAATCGGCGCTCTGCTTTTCTACATTCTCGCTTTGATTAGTAACGGATCTAGAGAACCTCCATGGAGCTTTCTGTTTGCCTGAAAGGAGCTGGACCTTTTCAGGTGCGATGGCGTCAAGGACTTCAGGTGTTTTGGAGCTGAAGCTGGCTAAGAGGGAGTCAACGCAGCTGCATGTTGGACGTGTTGATAAGTTCATCTGTTTGTTCCAGGGAGGGGTGCTTGGAGATGTATTGTTTGGTACGGAGGTGAGAAGAAACCAGTCTGAGGACATCTTTCTGGTCTTCTGTTGTCCAGTTTTGGTGAGCCTGTGTGAACTGTAGCCTCAGTTTTCTGTTCTTAGCCGACAGGAGTGGGACCCGGTGTGGTGTTCTGCTGCTGTAGCCCATCTGCCTCAAGGTTCCACGTGTTGTGTTCGGAGATGCTCTCCTGCATACCTCGGTTGTAACGAGTGGTTGTTTGAGTTATTTTGCCTTTCTATCAGCTCCAACGGACCTCTGGCATCCACAAGGCCTTTCCCCTACAGGACTGCCGCTCACCGGACCCTTCTCCATAAACCCTACAGATGGTTGTGCGTGACAATCCCAGGAGATGATCAGTTTCTGAACTACTCAGACCAGCCCGTCTGGCACCAACAACCACTTAAATCACCTTTCTACCCGTCCTGAAGCTCGGTTTGAACCCCAGCGAATCGTCTTGACCGTGTCAACATGCCTAAAAGCCTTAAGCTACCACCATGTGATTGGCTGGTTAGTAATTAGTGTTAACGAGCAGTTGGACAAATACACTCACAGGCCACTTTATTGGGTACACCAACCCAGGTTCAGTGAACGCAGCATTGCTTGAAGTCGAAGCTGAATCAGTAACGATGTTTTTCGTTATAAATTTAAATAATTAATAAAGTAAAACTATTTAAAGCTCTAAATGTTGTAAAGAATGACAGGATTGTGGTTTGTGTTGCTAGTGACTTCATGTACTCCAAAATAAGAGCCTAAGACTCTTCGGTTCTGTTGAATCGGGTTGAATTAAAGTGAGTTTTGTCCAACAGGAAGCCGAGTGAAGAGCGACTGCACCGAGGACAGGAGCACTTCCTGTTTACCGTGTGTAGCGGGAACGTTCATGGACAAACCCACCGGACAGAAAATGTGTTTTCCTTGTTCTGTTTGTGATTCAGGTGAATTTCACTTTTTACCAGTTATAGTTGAAACGTTTCTGATGAATTCACGTCATGTTTTATTTGATGTTTTACATAAAATATGAGTGGTGCTGATCTATAGGAATTTTATTGTTTGCGTGTTTAACCTCTTTGTGTTCACAGGATCTGGATTAAAGACCAAACATTCGTGTTCGTTAGCATCAGACACCGTCTGTGAGCCTCTGGAAGGATTCTTCTGCATCGACTCCACACCAGGAAGATGTTCAGCAGCTCAGAGACACCGCAGATGTGAACCTGGAGATTTTATCAGTAAAGCAGGTTGGTTTGATTTTAGGTCAAAAATGAGATGAAAACTAAACTTAGTCTGTAGAAACGTCTGTGCTGTAGCTGCTGTAACCATCGGCTTTAACTACATTTAATGAAGGACCATAAGATATTAAAAATCCATATCTAGTATGAATCCGTCTTACGGACACTGGGTTATTTAAATCAGGAGATTGGATCTTTTTATTGCAGGGACTTTAAATAACACTTTGCGTGAACTGAGAG